AGTCAAATTTTTTTCAGGTCCTGTCTGAATCCCCTGAGAAATAATGCATTTTAAACCTCCCTAATTTGAAGGCTTTTTTTCCTCAAACCTCCATAAGTCAAATTTTCTGTGGCCTGTTGGCTTTTTTTATACAAAGAGGAAAAAAACAATAAAAACATATATTGATTTGTTTTAAAAGGAGGCAAGAGGCTTGAATGGGAAAATGAGCCCTGCCTCCAAGTTCAGGATGCTTTAGTCAACTCATTTAAGAAGTAATTTCAGCCTCAGAAAATCACAATTTGCAATTTTCAGCCATTTTTTATGTTTCCCAACACAAAAGGTCTTCGTATTCTAGCTTAATTCAAAAGCACTCTAAGTTGAAACCTCCCTAAGTTGAATTTTTTGCTGGAACCTTGAAGTTTTACTTAGAGAGGTTCAACTGTAATAGTACTATTTCTGATACAAAATAAATCATATAGGGGACCTGTATTATTAGCAGTAGATAAGGCTTATAAGGAAATATACTAAATAAATACATTAATCACAGATTGGTTCCTCAGCATAATTGGCATGTAATTACAGTACATTGGAAAGCAATGCATGAAGAAGACAATTCCACAGAAGCACCATGTCAGTTCCCTGTTGGGTGAAAAGTTTCACAGAAAAAAATTGAATATTGTAAAATAAAAAATTTTGGAAGGAACTGGGGCTTCTTTTGGAAAAAAATCTGACATGCTGTCCAATTTTTATTCAAACAATCTCCTAGATCCCTCCAAAAATAGTCTGTTTTGGATCCAATAGTCATCCAAAAGCAGTTGTCTTTTCAATGACTCTTATTAAAATGCAAATTGGAAATGTTTTCCAATTTATATCCAAAGTTATTCAAGCCAACTTGTCTGAATTTTTTCAATTTTGGCAAGATTCTGAAATAAGTTGATTTGGATAACTTATTTAGGACAAAAAAAAATTTAGTAGATTAAAAAATTAATCTAAAAAACCAAGTTTTCAAAAAGCAAAAAAATAACCTTAAATGTGGTGCGTAAAATTATTAGAAGAGCCAAAGTTGGGAAAAATCCCAAATTTTTTAGCAGTCCTGCCATGGGATTAGCATTGGAGCATTATCAGGACAATGACATTCTTTTTCATGATTTGTCCCAACCTTGGCTACTTGGCCAAAGCTGCATTTTGATGACCTTTGCTGGTTAAACCAAAATGCAGAAGCCTGAAAAAAAATCCTGGCACTCCCAGTAAGCAAGAATTTCTCCAAAAAATGTCCAAAACCCCTCCAAGTGAGTACTGTGGACATTTCTTGAAGAAATATGTCCTAAGAAAGGGTGCTCTGGTGGACAGGTTTGGAGAGCTTTCAGACATTTTCTCCAAACTTGTCCAGGAAAATTGGAGACCTTTTGGACAAGTTTGGAGAACTTTTGGACAAGTTTCGAGAACTTTTGGACAAGTTTGGAAAACTTTGGGACAAGTTTGGAGAACTTTTGGACAAGTTTGGAGAACTTTTGGACAAGTTAGGAGAACTTTTGGACAAGTTTGGAGAACTTGTCCACAGCTTGTCAACAAGTTCTCCAATTTTCCCAGAAAAGTTTGGAGAAAATGTCCAAAAGTTCTCCTAACTTGTCCACCAGAGCTGTTAGTATAAAGGTTTAAAGCTGCATTTTGAGGGGGGGGGGGGGNATGACTATTGGATCCAAAACAGACTAATTTTGGAGGGATCTAGGACATTGTTTGAATAAAAATTGGACAGTATGTCTGATTTTTTTCCAAAAGAAGCCCCAGTTCCTTCCAAAAATTTTTATTTTACAAATTGACTTAGGAGGGATTTCAAGGGTGTGTTCTGTAGCTATCTGTCCAAGAGGTCAGGCTTCTAAGTCAGAGTTCCTGGGTTCAATCCCCAATAGGGTATCTGCTTCTTTTGTAATACATGAGAACCTCAATAACTTGAACCTCCTCAAGTGAAATACCTCCTAAGTCAATTTTTTTTAGGTCCTGTCTGAATCTCCTTAGAACTAATGCATTTAAAACATCCCTAAGTCAAAGGCTTTTTCCCTAAAACCTCCATAAGTCAAATTTTCTGTGGCCTTTAGGCTTTTTTATACAAAAAGGAGAAAAAACAATAAAAACATATATCAATTTGTTTTAAAAGGAGGTGAGAGGCTTAATTGGGAAAATGAACCCTGTCTCCAAGTTCAGGATGCTTTCAACTCATTTAAGAAGTAATTTCAGCCTCAGAAACTTACAATTTGTAATTTTCAGCCATTTTTTATGTTTCCCAACACAGAAGGTCTTTGTATTCTAGCTTAATTCAAAAGCACCCTAAGTTGAAACCTCCCCAAGTTGAATTTTTTGATGGAACCTTGAAGTTTTACTCAGAGAGGTTCAACTGTAGTACTATATCTGATATGCAATAAATCATATAGGGGACCTGTATTATTAGCAGTAGATAAGGCTTGTATGGAAATAGACTAACTAATTACATTAATCACAGGTTGGTTCCTCAGCATAATTGGCATGTAAGAACAGCATATTGGAAAGCAATGCATGAAGAAGACAATTCCACAGAAGCACCATGTCAGTTCCCTGTTGGGTGAAAAGTTTCACAGAAAAAAATTGAATATTGTAAAATAAAAATTTTTGGAAGGAACTGGGGCTTCTTTTGGAAAAAAATCAGACATACTGTCCAATTTTTATTCAAACAATGTCCTAGATCCCTCCAAAATTAGTCTGTTTTGGATCCAATAGTCATCCAAAAGCAGTTGTCTTTTCAATGACTCTTCAAATGAAAATTGGACAAGTTTTCCAATTTATATCCAAAGTTATTCAAGCCAAATTGTCTGAATTTGTCCAATTTTGGCAAGATTCTGGGATAAGTTGATTTGGATAACTTTAGGACAAGAAACGCACATTTTCTTGCTCAATCATCTTCAGAAGTTGCATGATTGAAAATGGTTCTTAAGTGGGAGAAAATACTCAACACCAGACTTCAAGACCAAGATTCAATACTTCAGAGTTGGATTTCAAGCCGAACCCATTCAGGAAAAAAAAACTGAACCTACGGGGTGTCCAAAAACTGGGAATCGCAGCTGATGGCGTCCAATGACACCGTAGATGCTGCCAAAGATGGCTGCACTGTACCAGTGACCGACGCCATCCCGTGATCGAATCTCGCACGACACTCATCGACACTGAATTCCTCGGAACCCCGTTGGGTTCTGCGGGTTTCAGTATTCGACTTGGACCGTCTTTGTTCGTCGACATTCACGGGTTGCCAGGGTTCGGGCATGTTTCTCGCATGGGCTGCGGATGCCGGTGCAGACGCTATTTTCCAGGCAGCCGACACCTTGTTATTCCTTTTCTTCCACTTATTCGCGTTGACAATCTTTTTAAAGCAAGCTTTTGCTTTTGTTTCTCGAAGCGAACCCGAATCCATCGAACTTTTTGAAAATTTGATTCAACTTTTCTTTCAATTTCAGATGAGTAGATCAATCGAAATAAATACTGTACCTGAATAAAAACAGAAATTTGAGTGCGCTAACGGAATGATTTCATGAGCGATTCAATTTCTTTTCTTTTTTCCTTCATGATATTCAATGCAGAGATTTTGAATTTTGAAAGATTGTTTTGTTTCTCATTCCAGCTTGTTTCATACAGAAAACTCCGACCGAAATGTAAACGATGATAATTTTTTTCGGAAACGGAATATTGTCTCGTGAAAAATCTCGTCTCTCAGATTCATCGCCTCTTTCTATGCAAAAAGCAGGGTTGATCTTAAAAAATATTATCCAAATATTCTGATCAAGTTCACAGTTTCTATATCAAGTTGCGATTGAAATTTTAGGGATTTGATTCGTGGCACTAAAAGCAGAAATATTGATAGAGTATCTCTGAAATTTGAACATTCTTCAATCTCTCCGGGAAAATGATCGAGAACAAAATTTTTGTGGCGAGTTTTATTTAATGAGTATCGAATTGCTGAAAAGTTTAAATTTGTGACCATAGAGAAATAACGCCGAACTTTCCTGATTAAAAAAAAAAATTTTCTAGTAAAAAACGCACTCAAAATATTTTAATCTATACAAAAGCTCATGCAATCCAATCTGCTTTTATTAAGCGACTTTTTCATCAGATCTCATTGTACAAGAATATCTTTGTTATATTTTGATGAAGGGGTCTTCTTCAAGAAGGCACGGTATGTGAGTACAGTACAATATACAGTACAGTATTTGGTATCTTCAATTCTTCACACAGTTCATTCCCTCAGACACCATGCCTAAAGTAAGCTCTCGAAAATATGCCAACCTCAACCTCTCATGCGATATTGAAATTAATCTGTACATAATTGAATTTTGGAAAATTCTAAAATTCCAAAAAACCGAATCCACAAAAACATATGAATCATACCAAGAGAATGCTGCCTTTTATGACGCATTAAGCTTTTTTACCCTTCTATTTGTTCATCCAAAAATATTGGTTAGGGGTTAGGCATCATGAATGGAACTTCTGGAATATTTCCATTTTAAATTGATTTTTTCTGAGTCACTGAAAGGTTTGTCTGCCTTTAACCTCAACCAGATTTGTTGCAACAACAGGAGTAACAGTTCACACTTTTGATAAATGAATGAGACTCCCAATTTTCAAGCTCTTTGTGTTATGTCAGTTTGTTTGAACATGTCATAAAAAAAATGAAGATTTATTCTTGATGATCTGTGGAGAACCAAGTTATTTGCTAATTTTGCAAAAAAGTCAAGTTTGCAAATAAGCCTGTTTTTCCTGACACAACCTATAACAAGAATGACCATGTGTAATTGGACAGCTGTGTATCTTTCCACAAATTAATCAAAGTACAGTAATACAGGAGCCTTTTATATCTCTGTTTGATTTACAGTATGAGGAATAATGGAGTTCTGAAGAGTTTGATGAGGAAATATAATTTTACTGAAACCATTATAACGTCATGGCCATTTTACCTGAATTAAGTAATTTTCAAAGATTGAATAAAGAAATGAGCGAGTTCACTGGATGGCCAGTAGCTGTTCAACAAATTCACCCGGGGTGTAAATGTTACTGTAAGGTGGGAGGTTGACATTGAACTCTTTCTCTGTTTCCATGACGAGCTCTGTGACATCCAGCTGATCCATGCCCAAGTCACCATAAAGGTTCGACCCGAAAAACGTGGCATCGTCCATCTTATGCCCAACACCGATTTTCTTTTCAAACAAGGCTCTAATCCTAGTTCGAATGGCGGCTTCTTCGGGGCTTACTGCCGCCAACGGGGCGGGTTTCAAGTCTCGTTGGGCGGAGCTCGGCAGCGTGGAGGCGGAGCCATAGTCCGAGTCCGCGTCCCGATTCGCTAATCCGGGGGTAAAGGACGTGACGGAATGGCGTCCGGAACCCGTTGGGTCCTCCTGTTCCATGATCGGGGTTAAAGGCTTGTTGTAATCCCGTTCTTCCTCTTCTTGTTCCTTTGCCATTTCGGCCTTTTTGGCGTCTTTCTCGTCTACATCAACTCCTTCATCGTCGACTGTCTCCGATTCCTGGTCATCCTCTTCCTTTTCAGCATGGTCGTCGTCTTCTTCTTCTTCCTTCTTCCCTTCGTTGGGTTCTTTTTCTTCTTCCTTCTTCCCTTCGTTGGGTTCTTCTTCTTCTTCTTCCTTCTTCCCTTCATTGGGTTCTTCATCTTCGAATCTTACTTGGTCTAAATGCTCTTTCGGGTCAACATCGTCTCCATGTTGACGCTGTACTGATTCCCACGCGTTTTCTTCATCGTCCTCGTGTTCACCATGAACAACCCAGCCATTGCTTAATGTGACCGGTTCTTTCTCTTCCACTGGGGAAAGAAAAGACAAAACTTGAATTTAGTGACAAAGTTTAAACATGCACAGTGCAAGTACACTACGAAACGAAATTCCACTCTGATGGGCCTCTCTTGCGATAAAAAAAAACATGGAGGGAATATTAGCATTTGGAATTTGCAAGAGGTGGCATATATTTTGGAATAGGTGATGAAGGGATCGCAGATTTTAATAATTATAGTAGATTAAAAAATTAATCTAAAAAACCATGTTTTCAAAAAGCAAAAAATAACCTTAAACGTGGTGCGCATCTATTTCATTTGTATTTCACTTCTNAAAAATATTCTTAAAATTAATTTTTTCACATAAGATTGCATTGTCATCAGTTTCTAGGCTATCCTGAAAGTTTCAGCTTGATAGCTAGTCGGGAAGTGAGTGAAATTTGAGTTTCAAAATTTGATCCGGACAAACAGACAGACAGACAAGAAAGTGAGTTCATAAAAACGTGGTAAAAAAAGGAAGAGTATCCTGATATACAGTTTAACCTTCTCAAGTTGAGCAGTCAAATTTCGGAATAATCGTAATTTCCAGTAGATCGCTGACCCTGTCTAATCCACTCAAGGGCAATTTATTTGAAAAATAGCTGCCCTGCTCACAATATTTTGTCTCTGATTTACCTCTTTCTATATTTTATGGGCTGTGTGCTATTGAACTGCGGCTAAACTTTAGTGCACCTGTTCCATACAAACAAGGGATGCAAATTCTTATCTGAACGCTCCCCATGAGGGATTTAGCAGCTTTTTTCATGCGTAGATCCATGAATGATACATATGATGAATACACCAAAGATACATTTTAATGGAATAAATTGGATATAGATAATCGAATTCCAAAATTTTTAATTCTTGAAATGTGAAAAATGTCTGGAAACGCTTCAAATTCAACTTTGAGGGGGTCAAGTGTATCATAAAAATTACTAAAATGACCAAGAGGACCTTGGAATGTTTTAATTAAATTGCATTATAGCAGAGAAACTGATGGTCATTTCATGACTAAAATTTCTGCACTAGTCAGGCCTGCTATTTTTGAAATAGAAATTGTTTTAAAGCATTGAAAAACCATACAGTGGAGTCTCAGCCAACAAAGTTTCTGTACTAATACACTTTCTAGCAGCAAACACACTTGATCTTAGTAAGAGAGGTCCAGCATGCAAATGGCATTAACAGAACATTTTACTCTCAAATCTCCATAACTCAAATTTTCTCAAGCCTTTTGGCTAATATTTTCTTGGCACAGGAAAGTGAAAAACAATGAAAAAAGTAACTTGATGTGTTTTGAAAAAAAGTAATAGACTAATAGGGCAAATGAACCCCTGCCTCCACAGCATTTTTTACTGTGGGAAAAATAGAAGAATGGGAGGAAATTTGAAATGGTGATATTCTGAGCAATTCAAGGCTCAGAATATCACCATTTCAAATTTCCTCCCATTCTTCTATTTTTCCCACAGTAAAAAATGCTTGTTTTCCCTACATTGAAACCTCTGTAAGTCAAATCCTTTGAAAGTTTGATTTTTTTTGCTGGTTCCTTGAAATTTGACATTGAGAGGTTTGACTGCTGCTGTATATGAATGTTTTTTGAGAAACTAAGAAAAGCCACATTATGACACAGAGGATTAGAGATTGAACAGCAGTTCAAACAAATAATGTTCTGTTCAAAGAAGCCATTGTGTCATTATTTCCAGCAACAATTGCAACTGGGAACAGCAAACCAGAGCATCAGGACAATTGCAACAACATCTTCACGGAATGGTATTGGCAGAAGTTCAGATGGGTAAAAAATTAAATTAAATCCTTCTTTCTGAAACGGGGAAAGGAAATCAAGTTCCGTTAACATGGTTTTCATTTTGTGTCAACATTTTTCAACAAGAACAGCTGCAGCCTTGGTTCGATAATGCATCTTTTCTGCCTGCCTATAAATGGTTTGGCGGATGGTTCACAGCTCAAATGTTTCTTTTTAAAAATGATGATGGTGGTTCATGGAAGCACTGGGATTATATTTCATATCTACGCCATTTGGAAAAAAACAAAAGCAGCATTTGATTCTCTTGATGCACCAGAGAAGAAAAAGGGTTCAATGCCTGACAAATGCTGTTCTATGAGTAAGTCAAGTTTCAGTCAGGAATTTAGGATCTTTCATATTTCTGTACTCTGGAATCAATAATTAGATAAAATCGGGAGCAAAACGCACATTTATGTCAGGGATCGTGCCAATATGTTCAATTGAGACCCCAAAAAATCAATAGAAATCTAAAAACTAGGAAAGCAGGTTTACGGTTCTAGCATAATCCCCTCCTATCGAATCTCTCTCTTTCTGATGACCTCAAGTGCGTCATCTTTGATTCCCTTTCATCAGCCTAACACATTTTTTTGACATATTTGAATCATTTTTCTTGTGAAAAGGATCCGAGTTTTCCCCTGAAAGTACAGTAATTTGAAGGTTATCCATAACAAAATACAATCTGGATTGACCTGTGGGTAATCTGGATGAGACAGCAGTCTGTGGGTAAAATATACTCTGTGAACATTTGCTGAAAAAAACAGCTATTTGTTTGGTTGGCTCTTGATAAAAATATATTGTTTAGAGATTTCTAACCATTGAATCTCTGGCCTTTCCCAGTAGGCCAATAATATACAGTGAGACCCCCAGATGCGGACATAATTGGTGCATCAAGAGTGTCCCTTCCAATTTAAACTGATTCAATCAATGTACTGTATTTCAACACAATATGAACATTTGGGGAATTGAATACTGATACCTCATCTGTACAGTACATAGAAGTGTTGGCATTTTCTGTAAAAATAAAATTCAAGTGAAAAAGAGAGATGGAAGTCTCTCTAAGCTAGAGGTAATTATTTTAAATTAGATAAATAGATGGTAAATTGGGGACAGAAATGCCCAAGAACTTTTCTTACATCAATTTCAGGGTTGGAAACATCTGTTTCTTGTAATTTTGCCTGAAATTTATTCGCAATTTTATTGCAAAATGTCCCTATATGTGGAGTCAATTTCCTCATGTTGGGACTTTTTGTGATTTTTTAATGTTAAAATAAGTGTCCCTAGGTCAAATTGTCCGCAGGTCAAGGTGTCCGCATGTGGGGGTCTCACTGTAATTTCAGTCAATTAATTTAAAAATCAATATGCCTAGGCAGCTGTGAGTGTCTAAAAGCAAGCACATGGCAATTTGCTAATTTCTAAATTTTCTAAAAATTGCTGACTTGGAAAATTCTAAATGTTCAAAATCATGAACACAAACCTTGCTGAGGTTTGAAAATATTTCCATCGGGTACATTGCAATTCAACCATACATCCATTGCAGGAACAGGGTCAAATTGCAAGACAATGTCAAATGGCATGTTTTCTACATGGAATTTGATATTTCATGTCTCTCTGCGGGTAAAATTGCTCAGCAGAGGTCAAATTGAGAGTTGACCACCTAGCAAAATAAAATTTCTGCATTGTTGAATTGCAGAAGGTTGAATTGCAAGGTACTGTACCACCTGTAATATGAATTTGGTTGTGTCTGGGACTCAGCCACTCAGATGTTTTTGAATTTCTTGAAAACTGAATTTTTCAGCACTTGACTAACAAAAAAAGTGACCTGTAAAAGTATGGTAGCCTAAAATTGTACAGTATTGTATATTCCAACAATGAAGTTTGTCCATCATTCTCTCATCTTTTGTCAAATTCAAAACAGAACAAAGAAATAAGGAGCCCAAAATTACTTTATGAAAATTACGTCCAAACCCACACAAACTATCTTTGCCCTTGATTGATATTTCGAGAATGGCTCAATTCACTCGAAAATTAATTTTATAACGCGTTCCTTGCCTTATTCGTTTTAAAAACATGCAAGAAATTTACAATGGTAAGTGAAAAAGTCCTTATTTTATTCTAGAAGATCAATTTTGTTCTTTACCTGGTGTTTTGGCATCTTCAATGTCCATGGGATTCGGCGTGATGATCCGGGAATCCGTGTATGCCTCCACCATTCTGTCCCCAGGTTTCGCGGGTCCAATGCTGGTGGTACCTGCTTTGGGACTGTTCTGCAACAAGGAGTCCAACTGGTTCTCTGGCACCTTGTCCAGCAACTGCTCGTTCAGGACCATCATCTCCGTTCTGGGCAACAGAGGTCGCAGTCGGAACCTCGCACTTTGTCCCACTGCTTCGTCGCTGCTTTCTGCCGGCATTGCTGCCTTCTTGTTCTTCTCCTTCTTCAGAATCTTCTTGTCCGCGGGTTTCTCCAGACGCGGCAACTTTTTGGGCCGGCGTCTCGCAGGCATTGCTGGGACCTGGAACGCCTGAGAAGGAGGAGTTACGTGTGAGGCTCCGCCTCCGTTGACGAGGCGGGGCACGGGTCGCATGAGGCGGTCGTAGGCGGCGCGTCGTTGACGTAGATACAAGTCCTTAAGCTCGTTCTGATCCGATTCGGGTAATTCGTCCCAAGTACGCGTGTCCCGCGGACGGGTTCGCTTGAGGAACGCGGCAAGCGCGGCGGCTTCGCGGGATGACGCGTTATTTTCAGTAGTAGCGTCATCTAGCGGCAGAGGAGCCGGGCGTTTAGAACGGTAGCGCGTATAGATGTCTCCGTGATGCTTGATGTACTGGCGGACGCGGCGAACTTCGGACACGTCCCCGATGCTGCGACTGCGAGGTCGACCGATTGGAGGCAAGGCCAGAGACCGACTGCTGAAAGTGGAGTCGAGTTCAGTGAGAGCCTTGGTCACTTCTGCTGCAGTCTGGGCTTGGCTGTCACTAGAACGCAGTTTCTTTGGAATGCGGGGACCCGATGGCGCATTCTGCGGATGCATTTTCCCCTGCTGCCGCTTCTTCGATGATGGCCCGTTGGGCTGCGTCCGCTGAGAAGGTTCCGTGAGAAAAGGAGCGACATCTGGTAAATCGAATGAAGAAATTTCGCCGGCGGATTTGGCTCTGCGGTGGTGGAGCCGCCCGGCGCGGGCTTTCTCCTCTCTGGCACTGGGTGACGCTGCTCGCCTCGGACTTGTACCTCGAGGTTCCTCTTCTTCCCCAGGTTCTTGCTCTGGTTTTCCATCATCCTTTGCTGCTTTTTCAGACACGGCATCAGGGTCGATAACGAGGACATCAGGTTCTTGGATGACGATCGTGTCGAAAGGTTCGTTTTGCGCAGTATCGTTCATTGCAGCAGCAGCAGCAGCAGAGGCTTGATTTGGAGATGTCGCTTCTCGGGTTCCAGAAGTCTCTGGTTCTGCTCTGTTTGGCTCTTCTTCTTCGAGTCCAGAGTCGGACGGGTCAGCGCTGAATTTTATTTTGCTGTCCAGAGTTTTTGGACGAACGGGTTTTTGGAATAAATCTTGGTGCATTCGATTTCCAGAAGATGGTGCTGTGGTCGCACGGGCTTGACGAGGTGTTCCAGGAGAAGACATCTTTTTTTGTTTATTTCAGGTACAGTACTTTTTTTTTCTTGAACAACACTGGTTGAGTCGGGTTCACTGTTATTGATTTTGGTAGCAGCCAATGACATCGCGTGCCATAGCTTTCCTATAGATGTCATGACGGATATTTTCAAATTATTATTCATGCTTGATTCATCATTCGATCAGTCGCCGATCAAAGTAGAATTTATGGACATTGCTTTTTACACGGTTCAAAAGCCTTTTCACCTGATGCATATTTATTTAGATTTGATCATTTGATATACACTGAGACCCTGAGATTCGGACGTAATTGATGCATCAAGAATGTCCCGAAGTCAAAATGTCCCTAAGTCAAGTCTCATTTTAACTTACACTTACATTATATAATTCTTGATTGGTGTTTTAAGGACAAAATACTCACCATGATTCCATGAAAATAATTGTCTCCCACTTTGAATTGATTCAATCGATAACTTTCAACACAATACGGACATTTGAGGAATTGAATACCAATACAGTACCTCAGTACAGTACATAAAAATGTGGGCATTCTCTGTAAAAATAACATTCAAGTGAAAAATACAGAAGTATGTCCCTCCATGCTTGAGGTAATTTTTTAAATTAGCTAAATGGATGGTAAATTGGTGAGAGAAATGCCCAAGAACTTTTCATGCATACATTTTAGGGTTGGAAATGTCTGTTTCTCGTACTGTGATTTGGCATGAAATGTATTTGCAATTTTATCACAAAATGTCCTTATGGTGAGTCAGAGTCCTCATGGCAAAACTTTTGAAATACTTTTTTATGAAAAAATAAGTGTCCCTATATAGAATTGTCCGCAGGTCAAGGTGTCCGCATGTAGGGGTCTCACTGTACAGTACAGTATAGCATGATCATGGTAGTTTATTCAGGTCAATAAATGTTTGTCTTCCCTCTGATAGTGAAACTTACTGTTAGATCAAAAATATTAAAAAGAAATTTTACTCAGAGGGAAACTGCATATGCTCATTTATCCACAATTTCAGCAATTATGCTAAAACTTAGAAACAATTAGAGTGATTAAATAAAACTGTCCTCTTTGCTGTAAATAAAAGTTGCTGCATTTCTTTATGACTTTGATCATTTTTAAACAGTGTTTTAAAGTTGAATCACCATTGATACCCTAGCGATAAAATCAAACATTTTCGTATTCAAGCCACCGTTTCACAATATTTGATTATCTGAGCTCGTGTTGATTTGGAGGAATATCGGTAAAAAAAAAATTGAGTTGAGAATCATTGTTTGTTCGATCTCTCCCATCATTCGGTTTGAGAAATATTAATGCCAGAAGAATTTTATTATTCCTACAAAAAGACACCTGCTCTTCATTTCACTAAAGTCATGTCTTATGTAAGATTTAAATAGCTGTGAAATCCACAATCCGAAGAATTTTCAAATTCCATTCCTGCCCAAGTACTCGCAAAAAAATGTATTCTTCCAATTAACGCTCTATCTGCACAAAGTTCACGGAAAATTGTGCAAGACTTTACAATTATTCAATAATAAAATTTCGAATAGAAGAGATTTGCTCTTCAATCACTCAACTTCTTGTTGCTGCGATGCAAGAATAACGCACGATTTTCACTCAAATTTGCGTTTGATTTCTTTTTCTTTTCCCAGAATAATAAATGATGAGAAAATCGAAACCACGGTGCAGAAGCGCTAACTTTTTTCTTTTGTTCGAACCAATATTTTGCAATGGGAAAACAACCGAGATTTTGTCAATTATTTTTATTCAGCACCCAGGGAAAAAGGGACGTGCATGAGTTCGAAACCACGGTGCAGAAGCGCTAACTTTTTTCTTTTGTTCGAACCAATATTTTGCAATGGGAAAACAACCGAGATTTTGTCAATTATTTTTATTCAGCACCCAGGGAAAAAGGGACGTGCATGAGGGATAAATGCCGGTGTTCAACTGGTAAGAGAAGGGCAAATTTTTGGCGTAGACGAAAAGCGTCCTCAATCGAGCGGTTTCCATGCGTCCCAATGCCTAACCTTGGCAACCGGACTCTCGACGCCTTTGTCGACACTTTCGACACTATCGCCATTCCTTCCCCCCTCCCCTTCATATACCCATTTGTGTGCCATTCCCAATGCCCTGTTTGGCCCACGTTCCGTTAACAAGTTCATTCGCGAGTCGACACTTAACCCTTCAATAATCGATTGAAAAAGTTATTTCCGGTGTTTATGCAAATATCCTCAGGGAAATTAAAATAGACGTCAGGAGAAAATGTTGGGTTCTGAGATCGGAGAGAAAATGCCGGGATGTAGAAAACGCGAGAAATGCAAAATTCTGACCCAAGGAGAAATAAAAAATAGAATAGTTTAACTGATACTGTATACAGTGAAATCTTGTTACAACAAACTCACGGGGGCTCCAGAAAAAGTTGGTCATAACAAATAATATGTTATAATGAGATTTTTGAAATTTTTGACTGATTTGAAGATGAGTTTCTAGACATTAAACCTGCATAAAGTTAACATCATCTTTTTTTTTAAACCTTTTTGGCTGTGTTTGGCATTTGAAAAACTGTGATCTTCAAAAATAATTTTGAATGTGAATCATGAACATTTATTCTGAAGAACTGGTCTACGCCAGCACTTTCAGTTGATTATGTTTTCCTCAGCAATTTATATGGGGTGGATGTTCCAAAAAAGCTTACGGCAATACATTTAACCCTTGGACGGCGGAGGGTTCATTTCCATTGTGAGGCAAAGTTGGGATATTTTTTGGGGGGTGGAGCATTTTAGTTTGACCCAAGGTTGCTGAAATGCTCCCATGGTGGAGAAGGCTTAAGTCAAGGCAAATTCTCTTTTGTTTTCAGAAATTGTCCATGCAGATCCTATACCACAAATGCAGGAAAAAACGCCACCCAGTGAAGGATTTTTTTGTTCATTTTTCATCCAAAATTTTCTGCTGGATTAGAAAAAAATGTAGGACTTTTTCCCAACTCAGGCCTTCCTACAAAAGTTGCATTTTTTATATTTCCAGTTCTTGGTGACACACAATTTTTCAAATATATCCTGACTTTGCTGCACAACGGTAAAAAGTCCAGATAAAATTTCCATAATCCATTCAAAGTATGCCCAGCATTCTACTGCTAAAGAAATGAGCTTCAAAAAGGATTTAGGACTCTTAAACTTCAAGGAAAGGGCTCTTTCCAAAATCNATCATTCGGTTTGAGAAATATTAATGCCAGAAGAATTTTATTATTCCTACAAAAAGACACCTGCTCTTCATTTCACTAAAGTCATGTCTTATGTAAGATTTAAATAGCTGTGAAATCCACAATCCGAAGAATTTTCAAATTCCATTCCTGCCCAAGTACTCGCAAAAAAATGTATTCTTCCAATTAACGCTCTATCTGCACAAAGTTCACGGAAAATTGTGCAAGACTTTACAATTATTCAATAATAAAATTTCGAATAGAAGAGATTTGCTCTTCAATCACTCAACTTCTTGTTGCTGCGATGCAAGAATAACGCACGATTTTCACTCAAATTTGCGTTTGATTTCTTTTTCTTTTCCCAGAATAATAAATGATGAGAAAATCGAAACCACGGTGCAGAAGCGCTAACTTTTTTCTTTTGTTCGAACCAATATTTTGCAATGGGAAAACAACCGAGATTTTGTCAATTATTTTTATTCAGCACCCAGGGAAAAAGGGACGTGCATGAGCGATAAATGCCGGTGTTCAACTGGTAAGAGAAGGGCACATTTTTGGCGTAGACGAAAAGCGTCCTCAATCGAGCGGTTTCCATGCGTCCCAATGCCTAACCTTGGCAACCGGACTCTCGACGCCTTTGTCGACACTTTCGACACTATCGCCATTCCTTTCCCCCTCCCCTTCATATACGCATTTGTGTGCCATTCCCAATGCCCTGTTTGGCCCACGTTCCGTCAACAAGTTCATTCGCGAGTCGACACTTAACCCTTCAATAATCGATTCGAAAAAGTTATTTCCGGTGTTTATGCAAATATCCTTAGGGAAATTAAAATAGACGTCAGGAGAAAATGTTGGGTTCTGAGATCGGAGAGAAAATGCCGGGATGTAGAAAAAGCGAGAAATGCAAAATTCTGACCCAAGGAGAAATAAAAAATAGAATAGTCTAACTGATACTGTATACAGTGAAATCTTGTTACAACAAACGCACGGGGGCTCCAGAAAAAGTTGGTCATAACAAATAATATGTTATAATGAGATTTTTGAAAATTTTGACTGATTTTAAGATGAGTTTCTAAACATTAAACCTGCATGAAGTAAACATCATCTTTTTTAAACCTTTTTGGCTGTGTTTGGCATTTGAAAAACTGTGATCTTCAAAAATAATTTTGAATGTGAATCATGAACATTTATTCTGAAGAACTGGTCTACACCAGCACTTTCAGTTGATTACGTTTTCCTCGGCAATTTATAGGGGGTGGATGTTCCAAAAAAGCTTACAGCAATACATTTAACCCTTGGATGGCAGAGGGTTCATTTCCACTGGGAGGCAAAGCTGGGATATATTTTGGGGGGTGGAGCATTTCAGTTTGACCCAAGGTTGCTGAAATGCTCCCAGGTGGAGAAGGCCTAAGTCGGGAAAAAATCCGGGAGGCAAATTCTCTTTTGTTTTCAGAAATTGTCCATGCTGATCCTATACCAGGAATGCAGGAAAAAACGCCACCCAGTGAGGGATTTTTTCATTCATTTTTCATCCAAAATTTTCTGCTGGATTAGAAAAAAATGTAGGACTTTTTCTCAACTCAGGCCTTCCTACAAAAGTTGCATTTTTTAAATTCCCAGTTCTCAGTGACACACAATTTTGCAAATATATCCTGACTTTGCTGCACAAGGGTAAAAAGTCCAGATAAAATTTCCATAATCCATTCAAAGTATGCCCAGCATTCTACTGCTAAAGAAATGAGCTTCAAAAAGGATTTAGGACTCTTAAACTTCAAGGAAAGGGCTCTTTCCAAAATCTTCGAGGACCAAGATGAACTGTTAACTTCATATGATTTCTTATCAAAGATTCTCTCTTCAAATTTTTCCATCAAATAAACCTTATCTGGGAGCAGGCTGAACACCTTTGTGCTTTAATTTGGG